CCCCCCCGGCCACCGCGCGGCCGCCGGGCAGAGCGGGCGGTGCTTGGCGAGGCCGGAGCGGAGGCGGAACCTCCTCCCGCAGCCCTGGCAGGCGCCGCGGGCGCCGTCGTGGGTCTTCATGTGCTCGGTGAGGTGGTGCTTGAGCTTGAAGCGCTTGTGGCAGGCGCCGCAGGCGAAGGGCCGCAGGCTCAGCGTCAGCAGGATGTGCCGGTCGCGCTTGGGCCGCACGGCGAAGCGCTTCCCGCAGGCGCAGCCGAAGCGCTTCCCGTCGGCCGGCGCCGGGCCCAGCTTCACCGGGGCGTGGAGGCCGCGGCCGCGCCCCGGCAGCTCGTTGCCGTGCAGGTCCACCGGCTTCCAGCCGCCGGGCTGCTGGAGGAGGGCGGCGCCCAACCGGTTGGGTTGGCCAACGGCGGCGTCAACGGCGGCGTCAACGGCGGCGTCGGGCGGCTCTTGCTTGACGGGCGAGACGTTGGGAGGGTCTTCCTCGTCCTCCTCGTCCTCCTTGACGCAGATCTGAAGGATCTCCCCGGCGGGGGCCGGCGGCGGAGAAGGCGCCTTGTCCTCCTCGTCCTCCTCCACGCGGAGCTGGGGGAGATCCTCCGTGGCCGCCGGGTTGGCGGAGGGGGTGGCCCATGAGGAGGAGGAGGAGGAGGAAGGGCCGTCGGAGGCGTGGGTGGAGGCGTCTCCGTCGTGGATGATCCCAACTCTGTCATGGATGATCCCAACTCCATCATGGACGATCACAACTCCATCGTGGGCAGTCCCATCTCCACCGTGGATGATCCCATCTCCATCATGGACAATCCCAACTCCACCGTGGACAGTCCCATCTCCATCGTCGATGATCCCAACTCCATCCCGGACGATCCCGTCGCCACCACAGATGATCCCAACTCCACCGTGGATGGTCCCGTTTCCGTCAAGGATGGTCCCATCATCACCATGGATGGACCCAACTCTACCATGGACGGTCCCAACACCACCATGGACGGACCCAACACCACCGTGGGTGCTCCCGTCCCCACCACGGATGGGCCACAAGGAGGAGGAGGAGGAGGAGGAGGATGGTCCTTCGCTGCCGCGCTTGACACGAGAAGCGCGGCCGCGGCCGACGCGCGGCGACACGTCCCGACCGCGGACGGTCCACGAGGACACCGAGGAAGCCCCGTCCCCACCACGGGTGACACTGGAAGGCCCCTCGAGATGACGGATTGACCCATCAAGAGCGTGGGCGGAGGCGTCTCCACCGGGGGCGGACGACGACCAGGAAGACCCTTTGTGGCCACGGTTGACGCGCAACGATGTCGACGAAGACCCTTCATGACCGTGGACGGTCCGTGACGGCGACGACGAAGACCCTTCACGCCCACGGACGGTCCCCTCTCCGCCGCGGCCGCTCCACGGCAGCGAAGACCCCCCGCCCTCCACCTGGCGCAGGATCTGGGAGCAGCGATCCACCACGTGCCACATCTGGAGCCCACTGGCCACCAGCAGGTGCCCCGGCAGCGCCTCCGCGGCCACCGTCAGGCGGCCGCAGTAGATGAGCTGCAGGAGCCCCTCGAAGGCGCCGGCGTCGATGGCGGGGGGCAGCGCCAGCCGCCCCCCGTCCTGCAGCAGCAGCTTGTCGTGGAAGAAGGGCGAGGCGGCCGCCAGGACGCTCTTGTGGGCGGGGAAGACGCGGCCGCCCACGTGGACGGAGACGTCGCAGAACTTCCCTTCCAGGCGCAGGCGGTTGAGCGAGTCCAGCAGCGCGGCCGCGTGCCGCGGGAACGAGATCTGCACCCGGCCCGGCCCCATCGCCCTGCGGGGACGCCCCCGTCACCAGCTGCCCCCTTGGGTGCCCGGTTGACCCTTTGGGTTGACCAGTTGATCCCTTTGGTGCCCACTTGCCCCCTTGGTTGCTTGGTTGATCCCTGCATTGACCTGGGGGTTCTTGGGTTGACCTGTTGACCCCTTGGTGCCCACTTGCCCCCTTGGGTGCCCAGTTGACCCTTGGGTGCCCAGCTGATCCCCGGATTGACCTCTTGACTCACGGGTTGACCTGTTGACCCTCTGGTGCCCACTTGCCCCCTTGGGTGCCCAGTTGACCCTTGGGTTGACCAATTGCCCCCTTGAATTGACCCATTGCCCAGTAACTGTCCTACTGACCCTTGGCTTGACCACTTGACCCTTAGCTTGACCACTTGACCCTTGGCTTGACCAGCTGACTTTTTGGTGCCTACTTGCCCCCTCGGGTGCCCAGCTGACCCCTGGATTGACTTCTTGACTCATGGGTTGACCAGTTGACCCTTGGGTGCCCAGTTGACCCCTTGGGTTGACCAGTTAACTCTTGGGTGCCCAGCTGACCCTTGGCTTAACCAGTTGATCCTTTTGGTGTCCACTTGCCCCCTTAGGTGCCCGGTTGATCCCTGCATTGACCTGGGGGTTCTTGGGTTGACCTCTTGACCCTTTGGTGCCCACTTGCCCCCTTGGGTGCCCAGTTGATCCCTGGATTGACCTCGACTCATGGGTTGACCAGATGCCCCATGGGTTGACCAGTTGACCCTTGGGTGCCCACTTGACCCTTGGCTTGACCAGTTGCCCCCTCGGGTGCCCAGTTGACCCTTGAGTTGACCTGTTGACCCTTAGGTTGACCAGCTGACCCTTGGCTTGACCTGTTGCCCTCTTGGGTGCCCAGTTGATCCCTGGATTGACCTGTTGGTTCTTGGGTTGACCAGTTGACCCTTTGGTGCCCACTTGCCCCCTCGGGTGCCCTGTTGACCCCTGGATTAACCTCTTGACTCTTGGGTTGACCAGATGCCCCATGGGTTGACCAGTTGACCCTTGGGTACCCAGTTGACTCTTGGCTTGACTAGTTACCCCCTTGGGTGCTCAGTTGACCCTTGAGTTGACCTGTTGACCCTTAGGTTGACCAGTTGACCCTTTGGTGCCCACTTGCCCCCTCGGGTGCCCGGTTGATCCCTGGATTGACCTCTTGACTCATGGGTTGACCAGATGCCCCATGGATTGACCAGTTGACCCCTGGGTGCCCACTTGACCCTTGGCTTGACCAGTTGCCCCCTCGGGTGCCCAGTTGACCCTTGAGTTGACCTGTTGACCTTTGGCTTGACCTGTTGCCCCCTTGGGTGCCCAGCTGACCTTTGGTTTGGCCTGTTGGTCCTTGGCTTGACCAACTGACCTTTTGGTGCC